ATAGATAGATAGATAGATAGATAGATAGATAGATAGATAGATAGATAGATACAACAGCCAAAATAACAAGATTACAAAGTGTTCACTAGGATACAGACAGACTAACAAACAGCTGAACTAGGCGGGTGTGACAGGAAATGACTGAAATGTGCTTCCTCTTTTGGCCTTTTTGCTGCTCCCCTCTGTTATACAGGTGGAAACTATTCCTCAGTTTAATGTCTCCAAAGTGAGGAGAAAACCCCACTTTAAGCATGTCTGGCCATCTTTAAAGAATTTCTGTGAAGATTTAACTTTTTCTGGTGAGTCTGAATCCATCAAAACAAGCAAACTCCTCTTTCAGATCAATGAAAACATCATATATTCAGATTTCATATGAAAGTGTGAAACTAATCATTCAGAAGTAATCTGACATTGTTAAGCCTGACTTTGGCTACCACTTAAACTTAATGATCATCACCCATCAAAGCTCTTGTTCCACCAGACCAAGTGAGAAAGAACCTGAAGGCCTTTAGAAAGTGAATAGAAGCCACAGCTTTTGCATCTCAGGCTGCCAACAGATGTTCCTGCTGTACCTCCCAAATCTAGATCTTTTGAAAGTTTCGGTTCCTCCTTCAGCTTCGGATGCTATAAAGGCAAAAACCAAAGTTATTTACACGAAACTTTAAAAGAGATGCAGCAAAAGAGGCTCACAGCTAAAGACAGCTGAAAAGCAAATGCTCCTGAAGATAAATGCTAACAAATGTACAAAATGCCATGACTGAAGGCCAGAGAGAAACCTGAGCCTATAGGCAGGGACAGTTTGAGCTGCTCCTCACAGTCTGGACCTGATTGGACCATCTGATCGCTGTAAGATATTCAGCATGATGGGGCAGTTTAAATGTTCCAAGGGGAGGAGAATTTAGGGATGTCCCGATCCAGCTTTTTGAACTTCCGATCCAATACCAATATCGTCAGATCAGATACCGTTATTGTATTTGCACTTCCAATCCTTTACCGGCTGATACCAGCCTATCAGAGCGTGTATTAAAGATTAAATTTATTTAGCATACTAACTTAGTTTTCAGACTCATGTTGAACAGGGATTTACTAATAGCAATTTCATGGTTAGGACACAGACCTGTGGGTAAGGAGATGCTCATGCTCGTGTGGGATTGGACTTTTTTTTTTAGTTTTTATTATTTTTTCAGAGATAATACAGTGTGGTACGGATGTACATATATATTTTTACATTTTTAAACATAAAAAAACAAGCGAACACAAACACAGGGTGATTACAAGAGTGTGAGAAAAAAAAAAAAACAAAAAAAAAAAAAAACAAAAAACTTATTGCATAATTAGTGGAACAACAGGTCTCCAACGTTTGTTGAATATGGGTGTTTGTAATCTCAGGGAATATGTTATATATTCCATCTGGTATATGTCCCAGACCTTCTGGATCCATATATTATAGCAGGGAGGCTCAGGTTGGAGCCATCTGATAGTGATGCATTTTAGAGCCGCTGTTAATAAGATGTTCAGAATATATTTTCCATCCCGTGTAGTGATATTTTTAGGTGTTACTCCCAATAGGGCAATGACTATGTTGAATGGGATATCTTGTTTGAATATGACTTTTAGGGCATCGAAAATGTCTTTCCAGAACTGATTTAATTTGGGGCATTGCCAAAATATGTGTGTGTGATTAGCATTGTCATTTCCACATTTTCTCCAACATAATCCTGAGTATGTCGGTCCCATTTTAGCCGATATAGCTGGTGTTCTAAAGAATCTAGTCACAACTTTCCATTTGAATTCTCGCCAGGTGTTTGAGTTTGTGACAAGGTGTGACTCCGTACATATTTCCTCCCAAGTCTCATCTGATATGTTCATCATGGTCTCTGCTTCCCATTTTTGTTTAATATTTAGTGAATTACAGGTACTTAGAGACAGAAATATATCGTACAGTTTACCAATAATTTTTTTGTCTTTGTTGACCACTTGTTTGACTAAAAATTGTTCTATGGGGTTGGAATGTAATATTTTTTCCCAGTCTTTGTGAGACATTAGAAATGATCTCAGTTGCAAATATCTAAAAAAGTCTGTGTTGGGGAGACCAAACTCAACCTTTATTTCCTCAAATGTTTTAATGTTGCCATCTTTGATCAGTTGATATAGATATGTTAAGCTATTTTCTGTCCATTTCTTAAAGCCATTATCCAATACGTTGGGGAGAAAGGTTTTCATTGATCCAATGTTTGTCAATGATGAGAGATTCTTGGGCAGTCTGTAGGATGACCGTATTTTATTCCAAATATTAAGTGTATGTTTAGTCCACCCGGTCATTTCTTTAATTTGGACATCTAGAAATGGTAATTCTTGTAGGGGTTCTACACATTTGCTCTTTTCTATGTTTAACCATCTCGTCGTTTCATCGTTTTGGATCCATGATAACAGTGGTTTCATTTGTGCTGCCCAATAATACATTGTAAGGTTTGGGAGCTTGAGACCGCCATCCATTTTAGACAATTTCAAAGTTTTTAACCTTATTCTGGGCCGCTTTTTTTGCCATATGAAGGCCGATATTAATTTGTCGATGTAGTCAAATGTTTGTTTTGGAATATTTATAGGTAACATCTGGAATAGATAAAGAATCCGAGGTAGAATATTCATGCGCACACTTTCAACTCTGCCTAATAGAGAAAGAGGGATAGAGGACCATCGCTCAAAGTCATTGCCAATATTTTTAATTATTTTTGTGTAATTTGATTTATATAAATCACTTAAGGAGGATGGAATAAAAATGCCGAGATATTTAATGCCTTCTTTGGGCCATTTAAATCCACTTAGGAGTTTGACATTGTCATTAACAAGGTTGTTTACATCTATAACTTCAGTTTTGTCAACATTCACTTTATATCCTGAGTAATATCCATATTGCTGAATGACATATTTGAAATGAGGAATTGTTGAAGCAGGTTCGGTAAAATATAATAGGACATCATCAGCATATAATGATATTTTATGTTGTTCTGTATTTATTACAACGCCTTTCATATTCTGATCATCCCTAATAAGTTGGGCTAGCGGCTCTATGCTAATAGCGAACAGTAAGGGCGATAGTGAGCAGCCCTGTCTGCATCCACGTTCCAGGTCAAATCGGTCCGATTTATGTCCATTAACCCGTACAGCTGCTTGTGGTGATGAATAGAGTGTTTTTATCCACTTGATAAAATTTGGGCCGAATTTGAATCGCTTTAATGTTTGAAATAGGTATTGCCATGATACTCTATCGAATGCTTTTTGTGCATCCAAAGCTATGATTACAGATTCTAGTTTTTCATTGTTCAGATGGGATATTACATTTAAAAGACGCCGAAGATTATTGCCATAGTACCTTCCTGTAATGAACCCAGTTTGGTCAGGGTGTATGATATGGGTTATTACTTTATTGACACGCCTTGCTAATACCGCTGTTAGTATACGCAGATCACCATTTAACAAAGATATAGGCCTATAGGATTGGCAATCTGTGGGATCCTTGCCTTCTTTATGAATAACAATTATTGTGGCTTCTGACCATGATGGTGCCAATTTTTGTGACTCCAAAGCGAATGAATAAGCTTTTAGTAATAAAGGTGCAAGTGAGTCTTTAAACACTTTATAGAACTCATTAACATAGCCATCTGGCCCTGGACTTTTATTGCCCTTAAGGGAAGAGATGACTTGTTTAATTTCGGTCTCCTCGAGAGGTTTGTCAAGTTCTTCAGCTAACTGGTCTGTCAGTTCTGTGATCTTTATATGTTCTAAATATTCTGCAAGTTCCTGCTCATTTGTGCATGTGTCCGTATTTTTATACAGTAATTTGTAAAACTCTGAAAATGCTTTAGATATGTCATTTGGTTTAGTAACATAAGTTGATTGGACCTTAATTTTTTGTACAATATTTGATGCTTGTTGTTTCCGTAGTCTAAACGCTAATAATTTACTGGCCCTATTTCCATCCTCATAGTATCTTTGATTCGTGAATCTTAAGTTACCTTCAATTTTAACAGATAATAGGCTATTTAGTTGTCTTCGAGTCGCGTTTAACTCTTTCACACTGGTAGCTTTTTTAGATTGTTTATGTTCATATTCCATTTTTTTTATTTTACATTCTAGTTCCTTTTGCTTGGCTTCTCTCTCCCGCTTTCTCGCTGCTGCGTATGAAATAATTCTGCCTCGCAAGTATGCTTTAGCGCAGTCCCATAAAATTAGAGGATTTGTTTCTGGTTTGGAGTTGTTGTTCAGATATTCCTTTAATTCATTGGTAATGAAGGACACAAATTCTTTATCATTCAACAGGGATGTATTTAGCCTCCACTGTTTGGTTGTTGGTCTAAGTCCTATGTCCCATTGTAACAGGACAGGCGCATGGTCGGATAAGGTGATCGGCATAATCTCAATATCTGTCACTTTGTCCAAATTTGCCTTAGGAGTAAAGAAATAATCTATCCTAGAGTAAGATAGATGTCTATTAGAATAGAAAGTGAAATCTCTAGCTCTTGGGTGTTTACTTCTCCATACATCGACCAGACCAGCCTCTAAAGCAAGGTGTTAAAGGGCTTTACTCATTTTAGGCATTGGTGTTCTTGATGGTGGTTGTCTATCGGCAAACTGGGACATTGTACAATTAAAATCTCCTGCCATCAGCAACAGTCCGGTACTATGTTGTATGATTTTATTGAATAATGTTTTAATGAATCCTGGTTCATCTTCATTCGGTCCATATACGTTAATGAGAGAAACTTCGACACCATCAATTACCCCGTTAACTATTAAAAATCTCCCTTCACTATCCCTATGCAATGAATTTTTAGTAAAGTTTATCTGTTTGTGAATAAGTATTGAGACTCCTCTTTTGCGTCCAGATTTGTGGGAAGCGTAATATATTTTGTCTGCCCATGATTTTAACTTTTCGTGTTCTGCATCAGGCAGATGCGTTTCTTGAAGAAAGGCAATGTGGCAGTTGAATTGTTTTAGCTGGCGCAATATTTTCTTTCTCTTAATTGGGCTATGAAGCCCTTTCACATTATAACTTACAATTCTCAGTTCACCCATTGTTCTATAGATTTTGATTTATTTTTAAAACTGTTGGTCTCATAAGCAGGATGGGAAGCATAGATGTGTACAGTGAAACATGACATCAGTTGAAATAAGCAATAAACACCCTTTTGTTTGGAACATAACACAAGATCCCCGGGGAACAAGGGGGTCATAACTTGAACACTAACACAAAACCTATATAAGGTAAATAATGAAATTGACATTATTTAAGGGGAAACTCGTTCCTAGCCGCCTAAATAGCAGCAACAGAGCACAACCTAGGTCCAATTCGGCTGTGCTTTAAGTTCGCCAAGACAAAATCTGAGGTAACAATTAGACTTCTTAAACACTGCAAGAGCAATGCCTAGGACTCCTGCAGAGCAATAACAAATAAGACAGCTGTTTGCTATATTTTTTGTAAGCTAAAAAGGGAAAACAAAAATAATACCAACTAAATAAAAATATATAAATGAATAAAATACAAAAAAAAAATAATAATTAAAAATAATAATATTAAATTATGTGAAAAATGAGAATGAAAAAAAAAAGATTATAATTCAATGAAATAATGACAGAGATCTGTAAAATTAAATACGCAGCAGAGGTAACAATGATTAAAAGTAATTGAAAAATAATAAAATAAGACTTATTGGCAAATAGACACTTAAACACCCAAACCAACTATATGCATATGCCAGGCAAATAGCAACAAATCACAAACCTTGCACCTTGCTTAATAGTCTTTACCACTGTATTTTGTGGAGTGTCCGAAGATGGATTTAGTCGTTTGCTGCAGGCCGCTCCTCCATTAGGATCTGTTTGGCATAGTCCATAGCCTTCCGATGATCCACAAACTCTCTGCTGTTGCCATTATGGGTTATTCGAAGTCGAGCTGGGAAGAGAAGACCGTAGCGTATGTCCTTTCGTCCGCGTAGGGCACTCCGCACTTCTGAGAATGCCGCTCTCGCCTTAGCAACGTTAGCGGTGTAGTCCGGAAATATTGAGACACGCTGGCCATTATAAAATAACGGTGCTTTGTCACGAGCCTTTCGTAGTATCTCCACGGCGTCCTCATCATAATGCATCTTAGCAATTATCACCCGTGGCTTATCTCCATCTCTCGAGCTCCCAAAAATACGGTGAGAGCGATCCACTTTGACGTCACGATCCAGCTGTAGCATTTCTTTCAGGGCGCTAGCAATAGCCTTCGGGGTGCTGGAATTAGCCTCTGGGATGCCCGCTAGCCGAATATTGGCACGCCTCATTCTGCCCTCCATGTCTTCACATTTATCCCGCATTGTCTTTATCTCTTTCTGGAGGCTTTCCACTGTTGTCTGTAGTGTTGACACTTCATCAGACCATGTGTTCAAACCATCTTTCACCTCGTTTACATCTGTCTTTACAAGCTCCATGTCAGCACGGATAGCGGTGACATCGTTAGCGATTAGCGTCTTTAGCCCTTGTAGGTCGTTTTTGATCGAGCTAATCTCGTCTGCCAGCGCCGATTTGAGCTCATCTCTTATAACGTTTTTTAGGTCTTCCCTTATGCTGGCCAGAATCTCCGCTTTCAAGTCTTCAGCCATACCTGGGACTTCACCTGAGGGATGGGTGGGTGCGGTGTGGGTCGCTCCGCCCTGTGTGGCTAATTTGGCTGTGTTCCTCGTGGTAGGCTTCGGGTTAGCTTGTTTGCTAGTGCTTGCGGTGAATTTGTATTTCTGGAGTTTGTCCGCCATTAAAACAGCAAATACAAAGCTTGGGCTTCAGTAGACATCTTCAGCATTGCGTTGTGTCATTGTTCATCCAAAAATAGCTGTTTGAATGGTATAGAGTTGTAATGAACGTGATTAGGACCCAGAAGCAACCAGAGACGTACGGTCAGTTTAACACGGTTTATTATCAGACAGGGGCTTGGCAGAGGCGTGGTCAGTACAGTCCAGGTTCGATAACGGGTGGTCCAGGCAGCGCAGATAATCCAACTCGTGGTCAGGGGTTGGTCGAGGGTCAAAGCCAGGGGAGCAATCCAGGGGAGCAGGCGGGAGCACGTAGTCAGGCAGGCGAGGTCGGAACACGGGGAGGCAGGCAGGATCCAGAGACTGGCAGAGCAGATCTCAGGCAGGCGGACTAAACAGACAGGGAGTAGGCAAGCTCGGGAGTCGGAGTCAGACGGGTCGTAAACAGGCAGACAGAATCAGGATATAATGCTGGAAGTACTCACACGAGGCTCGATACGTTCTGGCATTGATTTCTGGCAGGCACGGAGAATATAAGGAGGTGGGAACAGGTGAGGGTGATGAGCACTGATTGCTGTGTGAGTAGCTGAGCAGGTGTGCAGGTGGGGGTGGAGCCAGCTCCAGAGCTGGGAACATAACAGAGCCCCT